TATTATTACCCTCATTCACAGAGTGGTTAATTGTATTGCCCGAGGTCACCTAGCTGGTAAATGATGAACTTGGCCTGTCTGATTCAGAGCCTGACTCGTATTCACTATGCAACCTTACGAATGTCATTTATCCAGATGAGTTCCCAATTTAAAAAACCATATTACTAAAATAAACGTTGTTTTATGAATATCTCTTGAACCTGTTCACTTTTCTCCACCTGGACTGCCACCACCATCATCTAAACCACTACCACCTCTCACCTAGACAACTGCAGCAGCCTCCTGCTTACACTTTTGCTCCCTGCCGATCCTTCTTCAGAATGATCTTTTTTTAAAAAATATATATTTTTTATTGAATTTTTGCAGAGAGGAAAGGAGAGAGATAGAGAGTTAGAAACATCGATCAGCTGCCTCCTAAACATCAATCAGCTGCCTCCTACACACCCCCTACTGGGGATGTGCTCGCAACCAAGGTACATACCCTTGGCCGGAATTGAACCTGGGACCCTTCAGTCCCCAGGCCAACGCTCTATCTGCTGAGCCAAACCAGTCAGGGCAGAATGGTCTTTTATGATAAAACACAAATAGCACCATGATCCTTCCGTGCCTGCAATGCTTCCACAGCCTCCCACCACTCCCATCGCTTCCCTGTGTGCCTCTTCCACTAGACTGTGAGGAGAGACTGTGCATATTTTGTTCAAGTGTTGTCTCCAGCATCTCGGAAAGTGCCTTGCACATAGTAGAAGGTAAATATTTTTTTCTTGAATGAATGGAATCCAAATGACCCTTAAAAGAAGAATATTAGTCACTTATATAGGAAAATTAAAAATGATGAAGTTGGAGGTATGCAAGTAGGTTTTTCATAATTTGTAACCACATCGGTACTTGTTTGTCTTCTTCTTTAATATCCCTTTAGACTGTAAGCTCCATGAAGGCAGGAACCATGTCTGCCTTGTTCCCTGTTATAGCCTCTCTATATCTCAGGTTCCTAGGAGGTGCTTACTAAGTATTTGTTGTATGAGTAGTTTCAATGACCAATGTGGATTAGAAGCTGATGAATCAAAGATGACAAATAGTACTGGTTAGGGCAGAATTGAAACAGGAAAGTATAATCATAGTTATAAGAGCTATAGAGGGTGAGTATGCTTTCATTCATCTATCTATAATAATAAAAGTGTAATATGCTAATTAGACTGGACATACTTCCAGACGACTTTCTGGATGAAGCTGGGGCTGGTAGGGAAGCCCAGGTCCCAAGTGCCTGCGGCAGCCAGAGGGAAGCTGGTGCCAGCCACTGGGGGAAGGAAGGCCTACTCTTGCACGAATTTCGTGCATCGGTCCTCTAGTATATATATAAAAGCCTATGTTGTTTCAGTCGCAACCAAAACAACCGAACGGACCACCGAACAGGCTGCATGGGGCGACCAGAATGGCAGGTTAGGTGGCAATCAAGGCAGTAGGCAGGCAAGTAGTTAGGAGCCAGAGGTCCTGGATTGGGAGAGGGATATCTGACTGGGGATTGGGCCTAAACTGGCAGTTAGACATCCCCCGAGGGGTACCGGATTGGAGAGGGTACAGGCTGGGCTGAGGGGACCCTCCCCCAGCATGAATTTCATGCACGGGGCCTCTAGTTTAATAAATATAAGGCACCTGCTATGTGCCAGACACTGTGCTAGGCAGCCTGTGCTGTCATGGAGCTTACAGTCTAGTGATAAATAAACAGGCAGATACATTTCTCAAGGGAGGGCAGTAAAGTGGTGCTCCAGGGAACACCTAGGAGGGGACATTTAACCCAGATTTGGGCTATTAGGAAGTGATGTCTAAATGGTGAGTAGCTAAAGGAAGAGGGTGTAGAAAGTGATGGAGAGTATTCATGTGTAAG